AAAAAAAAAAAAATTTTTCAAATATTTTATAATACAAAATTTTGTCTCTGTAACAGTTTTTGCTTCCTTTTTATCTGTTTTACAGACTGTTTAATTTCTGTATGAACAACAGTGTTTTTTTTTTTTTTTTCGGAGCTGTTTTGATGATTACATTAATAGAAATATTTTTCATTATTCAAAATTTTATAATCATATTTAAAATTGTTTTTTTCTTCACTTTTTTTTTTTTTTTTAGAATTATTTATCCGAATAATTTTTTTGTTGATTGATGATGACAATGTGTATTGCAAAAAGAAAGAAAAAAATGGGAAGCATTTTTGATGGATGAACAAACAGAATTGTAACTGTATAAAACAGTTTGTTACAGTTTCTTCCGTCAACTTCGCAGTATATTTATCAGCATAAAATTTTCAATTTTCCATAGCTTCAAATTTGTTAAACACAAAAATAAAAATTCTAAAAGGTATTGAATAACTTTTAAAACCTCCAATTTTTACAATTATATATTTATTTACTTTTCCTTACATCTGTTATGGACAGTTCAGTGTCTTTTGCTTATATCGCTCAACCATATTTTGCCATCTTTTTGATACTCAAATTTTATTTGTCATGTTGACCTTCCTCCTAATTTACAGCTTTCTTGAAATTTTTCGACGTCAAGCACACCTCTGTTTCCATTTTCTTCTTATGTTGTTATAATTTTGAAACATCAAGGAAGGCTGTCGAACGAAACGAGGAAAAATTTTTGGTTTTAAAGAAGAAGAAAACAACAAATCCGGACTGCTCTTAGAATCAAATCTTAGCCAAACAACGGTATTTTATTGGATGTTTTCCAAATGAAAGAATATGTTTGGGTGATAATAGCCGTAATTGCAATTCTCCTATTTGTTCTGACATGTATCGGCATTGGTACATTCTTATGGCGCATGTTTCGCTATCGTCCCAGACGTGTAATACGGGTATCGCCGACTACAGCAAAACCGATACAGCCAGTTCAAAGTGTCGAATCTCAGTACAGTAACTATGCAAATTATTTAAACAACAATGATTCCATGTATAATGCAAGTAAGCAATCTTTTTTTTTTCGCCACTTCATTTCATGTTCCATAAGTTTATCATCTGGAACTTTTAGCAGTGATACAGTAGAGTTGCCGACGAAATCTAGTTTCCCCCGTCCAGTACCTATGTAATAATCAGAAACGTATTTTTCACTAAACTATTAAAAAGCCTACTTTTGTTAACTTCTCATTTCACTGAGTTGTACGGTACCGTACGCTCTATCTTAAAGCAGTCAATGCAGTAAACAGACTTTTAATGCGATTTATAATAGCCTTTGCAAAGGAGTGAAAAAAAGCAGTAAAACCTCTTTTTTTGCCTCTCTCTGAACGATCATTATGACTCGATTTATCAGACAGATTATAACGACTGCTTAGACAGTAAGTTTGTGTCCATATTGGATGTTGTTTCAGTGAGCCGAAAAAGAGGCGAATTTAGTCCGCAGCTGACATCCACTCTGCAGTCAGAGCAGTACGCCCAGAAGGAGAACTTACGTGAATTTAACAACCGAAATTGGGCTGCCAGATCAGCGCCATCGAGTTCGATAGATAGCGGTCAGTTTTTGTTCGCAACTATCAAATTCTTAACATAAAAAAAGTAACAAAATAGCATTTCATAGTGCGTTAGTTACTAGCCTCTCATTTATTTCAAAAACATTTTGGTCTCTTTTTTCATAAGTTTTATATGGTGAAAAGGTAGGACAACGATTTAGTTAAATCAAATCTTAATGATTTCTTTAGTAAAAGTATCCACTGGACAGCATACACATTTGTTAAGCTCGTCAACGGTATAAGTGTTTGTTTTACTACACCATTTAAGTGCTGAGAAGATAAACAAAAAAAAAGTAAACAAACAAATTTTTTCTTAAACAAGAAGAAACAACAGCATCAATAGCACCGACTCAACAAGCCATTGCGAATCTGAAAAATAGTTTAAGCTTTAGATGAAATACCGAAAATAACAAACCTATGGCAGAAACGGCAAAGCCGCGGTTTCATCGATCGCGACCCACCAACAGAAGAATCCAGATCAGACTTTTTAGATCCAGTAGATTTTGCAAAAATCCAAGAGATTTATTCAGAGTCTCAAGTTTCCTATGAACGAAGGCGGCCACTCTCTAATATTGAATGCACTTATCAGGAAGATCATCGGTATTTCTACAACAGTGATCGACCTGGATGAATTTTTACAATATCGCTCGTTTCATTTCTTTTCTTCCGTTCTCTCTTGCTCTCATTCATTGTTAAATGGTTAAGCCGTTTAACTGTTAGTTCCGAGTTTGTAGAATGGAAATTGGAAAAGAGACGAGAAGGCTGAAAAGCCATAATAACGAATGATGAATTGACTGTCAACGATCTCCATAATTGATCATTATTTCTCAAAGTGAGCTTGTCAGTAATACTCACAAGTTCACATATTTAACCTCAGAATTCTTTTCATTTTATGTTTCTGTATCTGTTCGTATTTTTAAGCCATGCATAATGTAAAGATATATACAAACGGTTGTACCTGGCCAAGTGAGTGGTGATATTTTATAACCAGGCTCAGTACACTGCAACTGCATTACTAAAAATGCAACGATATTCAACTAGGTCTCAAGTTGACAAAATAAGAAAACTGGTAAAAGAATTAATTCAAAAGTTTGTCTATCGACAATTAGTGTCGTTTTTGCCCACCATTTAACAACATTTTCAAATAGCAGACTTTGCACGTGCAGGAAATTAATAGATAAGCGAATCTTACAGAAGAAAATTAATTTTTTTTTTGAAAGATTGCATTTAATTTTAAACCACGTATTTACGTGAATACTAACAATAATTCTGAGAGTTCTGGAAGACACTCAGTACTCCAGAGACGTAAATTTTCTATTCGTCAAACCATTGAGGAGAAGTAACAGTGATGACACAGTGAGTTTGAAAAGGTTAAATCCTTCAAGTCGAGAATCGTAATGGAAGAAATGAACACCAAAAAATCTAACGCCCTCTGCCAACTCTTCACTTGTACTACAGTTAGTGCGGCTTCCTATAAACAAGCAAGGATCACCCGTCGATCTTTTTACGCCAGCGTCACTCCTGACTTCAATTCACTTTTATTTCACCTTCGGCAAAGTTCACCAGATACAATGTGAACCGGCCAAAATCATAATTCGAAAATCCTACATTAATTAGCACCTGTAAAGAGCCATCATCTTCTAGAAAGTCAAAAAAAATTTTTGAAGGTATCCCGACCCCATCCTGACACCAGATTATAGCAGTGTTTTAGCTCCTTGAATGAGCTGTTATGAGGCATACTAGTGTTCTTCTGCCATATTTCTATCATGAATTTTGGCAAAGTAGTCAAAATCTATAAATGAAGATTAGCCCGTTTAATCATATGATCCGCTTTCAATTTCTTGACGCCTTTAAATTGCCAGTAAAATGAATATGCATATGCACGCTCACAGGTGAATACGCAGAGCACTCTTTTAATTTTTTGAACAAATTCAGTGGACTTCTGTAAAAGATATATACACTCTATAAGGGTAGACTGTATATATAAACTCTATAAAACTTACTGAACTTGTCCAAGAAATTAAAACAGTGCTCTCTACCTTCACCTATAACCATGTACATCATTTGAAAAGTTAACAACATTTCGCCTTTCTGGGGCTTGGAATCTTAGTACATGATTGCTTCCAGAATAAGGTCTCAAAATGCTGTCACACAGAGTACTGGAAGCTAATTTCCAAAGCATAGTTGAAACACTTGCCAAACGGAACTACCAGAACTCACTCCTTCCTGGAATTTCTCTAAGAACAATATCGCGTGTTGGCCACGCTTACAATTATGCCTTTGGACGATCTAAATATGATCTGCACCATTCTCATTTTACATCACAAGAGCAATAGCCTGTGCAGTTGTCGAATGACCTACCTGCCAAACAACAAAAAAATTCAACTAAAAGCAAAACGAAAAATCTCAAGAATTTCCGTCTGACAAAAACCTTCGTCTGGCGCAAAACAAAGTGATTTGGGACTTTATTTCTGATAATATATATAAATGATTTGGTTCTGTATTTCTCTGTTGCAAATTACAACACTTCCTAACTAACTCCTAACAAAAGCCTCCATTACTACAACAAATTCCAAGCAGTAAAGGGAAGAAAAAATGAACAAGAGCTTCAACCATTCTGAAATAAGGCTTCAGGAACCTTTATTAAGTGATAAAGTCAAAACCAGAGTCGGTATTTAAGGCAATGGAATAAGATTTTGCATTTTCATAAAAACCACCAAACATTCAATTGCTGAATAGTCAAACGTGCTCTTTACTAAAGTTAGGGAGCTTGTTCAGAACAGTTCTAGACACGATACGAATTAAAGAACTAGTTGATCAAAAAACCTCATTACTCAAAACTGTCCATCAGCAAAACGGCCAACGGAATAGAATACTGCAATCGTGTTCTTCAAAAACAACACGATTTAAAAATATAAATGAACAGGAATAGCATTAACGAAAATATATGAGATTCAACCAAACCAAACAGATACAGCATCCAACTTAGAGTCAAAAACTGACAAATAAAGCTGCTACTTACGTCAGACCTAACACCTTAGTTCAAATACTAGCTATATGTACAGTTTTTACAGTAAAAATCTAAAACTACTAAACCATTTTCCCAACAAACATTACTGGAAAAAAACTCCCAAATTAGAAACGAAGCCAAGTTGAGACTACAGCTGAGTGAGAAAACTTCTATACCAGCGCGGAATTCAAAAAAGAAAAATTAAAAACCTTAAAATCAAAAATCGCATGAAATTAACTGTAGCGACAATGTCATAGAAAGTTCCTAGTGCTGAAAGACGAGTTGAAAAAATTTTCTGAGCCAAAACAGAAGAACAATTACTGCGTATGATTTGTTACCGATACTTAAGACACTGGCATTTACAGCCAGTAGGACAATGGCTGTTGTCTTGAAACCAAACTGCTAAATGTTCTATATGTCCACCGTGTTTACAAGCAGCACAAGTTGTAAGCAAACCTAAAAACAAAGTACGTTACTTTAGAATTCCTACGAGACAACAGAAGAAAATTGTTCTTTTCAAAAATATCTACTGAGGCATCTAAAAAGCACAGTTCTTTTTGAAAATATACCTTTTACAACGATATGGCATACAGCACAGTAAAATGGTGGTCTTGGTGCTACACAGTTAATCTTGCCACATTCCCTTCCGCAACACTTGTTGTCGTAAGATACTAAAGAACACAACTCTTTATTATTTTGAGAGAAATATGTAATAATTCACTAAATTAAAAAAAAAAATCAATAATATCTCTCACAACTCGCAGTAACTGTAAAATATTTACCAAACAAGGGACGCGATCGTGGAGCATTCTTGCTGAACTTCATCAGCTCTGTTGCTTTTGTATAGATCCTCCACCTGTACAACATTTCAATGTAGCTGTGAAGAAATTTATTCATGCGTTGTTTTATCTCTTCAGGCAGTAATCTAAACAGAAATGGAATAGTTATTAAACAATAAATCTAAACAAGTGATAAGATAGCACATGTTTACCACAATTTAATAAGTAAAGGAACCAACCTATTGTCATAAGAGCGACTGTATGCAGGTTTCAAAGAAATAATTTCATCAGAGGATTTGGATTCGGATCCTTCATCCAACTCGTCCTCTGAGTCTGTCCGAACTCCCACATCAACTATCGATTTTTGGGTAGGAGAAAGGAAGACTTGAGACCCAGACGAGAGTTCAGGAACTGCAGTGGCAATCGACGCTAAATCAAAACTTTCTTAATTTCTCCACACAGGTTTCGCTCTAGTTAGATACTTTTAGTAAAACTCCATATAAACACTGATTGTTAGCAGAAAAGTCCTTCACCTTCAGAACATATTTACAGTACAAGCAAACATATTACTTTTCTGTTTCCTAACAATGCTGAAAAACGAGAACTTTCGTGGAGGAGATTCAGGTACAGCAGCTGGAGCTGATGTACTCAAAGCTGGTGCAGCACTGGAAAAAAGTATGAAATTACAACAATCAAAGAAAAAAACGATGTACTTCGATCACTGTTGGATTTCTACACTAAACGACTTTAGCAATCCAAAATAGATAAAAAAAGCGTTAAAATAAGGATTTAAATGTTAAAACCCAAACAGATAAAAACTCAAAAAATGCAGCTTGAAACTACAGCAAAATTACCTTGGAGAACGCGACAGTACTTTCTTCTTATCGTTAATAAGTTTTGGCATCGATTTTTTAGCTAATGCTTTCCTCAGTTGAAAATCACTTTTCTCTTTCGTCTGAAATACATCGCAGTTGCGAAACACAAAAAATCCTCCATAAATCAGTAACTTAAAAATACATTAAGAAACAATCAAACTAGGAACCGAAGATGCTGATTTCAATAGCAATGATTTAGTGTCACATAATGGAAGGAACTGCTCTGTCTTAGCTCTTCGATCACCTGACAACATTCTGTTTGGATTAGTAAATCGGGGAGCAATTGTGCAAAGTATGACAGCAGCAGTTTGATAGTCGCCTATTTTTTCACAATGATCCAGCCTAAAAGACTGTCCAATAAAAACAAAAAAGATGAAATTAGTTAACTCACTGAGGAACGCTTACAAGTCCTGGAGCATTGAAACACCACATGGATGCTCATCCCAAAACTGCGCATCATCAACGGGAACAAAGAGACCTTCACCCAATGACGACTTATCCTGTTTCGCTGTATTTCCCAATCTAAATAACGAAATAATTTCATCATCAATTTAAACTTGTTCATCCGTAAAAAATGATCCAATTAAAGAAGCGCTCATTGACGAACAGAATTATCGTAAGAAAACTGTTTATATTATCATAAATATAAGTTGCAAAAATTAATGCTTGTTGTTCTTGAGAGACATTTTAAGCTTTCTAGTAAAACTACTCTGAACTATACCTTTGAATTGTTGTACGCACCCATAACTCCACCACACTCCAAATTTGAAAAAGATCTAAGCGACCCGCATCCTCAGCAACTTTTAAGTTATGCAAACAGATTTGTAATGGGTTGGCACCAAATAAACTAGAATCAAAAGAGCGATAAAACAAACCGCGACATTTGATTTACACATATAAACTAACGAATAAACCACAACAAAGCTCTATATTTATTAGCTAAAAAACTATGAACGCGAGAACCCAGCATTTCTTCAACAAAAAGCCAACAGCAGCTGATTTCATTTCTTACCTTACCTTTCTATTTTTGAAAGGTTCATTTCTGAATTTGAAATCCTAAACAGTACAACAGTCTCGCCTCATTAGAGAAGTTTTTTTAAACTTTTATGTAATGAGCAGATTCCTCCGTTTATAAATGCCTTTCACCTCGTGAAAAACAATTTCTTTAAGAACTGAATTTGCATTATTTTCCACGTTTCCCCCCCTACCCTCAAGAAAGTACTTTGTTGCTAAACTGGCAATTTGAAAAAATTAAATTTCAAAACAGTATTGTACTTCATCGTACTTAAGACGTGTGAGTCGAGCATTGTCCACACTAAAGAACATTTGTTCACTTCACCCAGACACCTCTTCAGAACTAATATCAGAAACGAAATCAAAAATCTCAAATAACCTCCAAAAAAGTCTATCTTCTACATCTGAAAAACAATAACTTATAATCTGTCAGAATTAAACCCATTACAACTCAAAAAACAAACTTTAACATAGAAAAACATTAATATAGAAAAAAAACCAACCTGTAGTTCCTAGCCAACACCTTGCTGACAGGAAGTAATTCTGAAGCGTCATATATCACGACTTTCGAGACAAGCTTGGCTTCTGCTATCATGAAATGTTCTGCAATAAACAAATTACTCACCAAAGCCCATGAAACTATCATCTCCGTTTACCCTATTTTTAAAATCAATTAGAGTTGAATAAAAAGCAATAGTGGAAGAATAATGTAATTCACAAAATGAGCTCCAAAGTACAAAATAAACCTTCAGCTAAGATTCCAGCATGGGAATTACTACTGTGGCGTTGAGAACGAACTATAACTAGTGGAGCACTTACAGAAACCTTGCTCAAGTCCGACATAGATCCCTGAAAAGAAATTATTAATCTTCACTTTATTTCTACAGAGATCTTTATATTGTTAGAAGAAGCCTGTAAAACCCTAAAACCACTAGTGTAAATATCACTAACAGTGTGATAATTGAAGAATACGTTCCGTTAACAGTGCCATGCCAAATAGAAAACTTCAACTAAAATAATTCTTGAATTGTTGTGGTTAAACTAACAGTAGTTTCATGAGTCGATTCATACATTTCGTGGCTATGATTGGCTGACAGTAGCTTCAGTTTTGGAGACGACTCGTAATCAGCATCTCTTCTCGTTGCAGAGAATGCACTAGAAGGAATGCTCATTGAAAATAAATCGCCATCTTCATCACATAATTGAGATCTTGCACAGTGCTTCGGAGTCGACCAACAGGAACTTGGAAGTGAAAGAGCTATAATTTAACGACCTAAAGTAGTGGCAAAAATAGCTGCTTCAGTAGCATACAGTAGTGTCAATTTTAATTAGAACTAAAAAGTAGCTGAATTCCCTAAGTTTTAAAAATGAAAAAAAATAACCGGGTATTTGGTGAGGGTCAAGAGCAGTAGGTAATCGGTGATCATCAATCGTTTTAATTGATTCAGAACGAAACCTCTACAATTAAATGATTGGTCAACAAATATTGAAGTAATAAAAAACCCTTTGAGAACTACTCTCATGTCCTCTTATGCACAAATAAAGTACGACGATTTTGCTAAGTATTAACTTTGAAATGTTCGGCATTTGACGTGAACATAAGCGGCAAGGCTTTCACTTCGTCCTTTTTTTTCCCAGCACGGCCAAATACCACCAGTAATCCTGGAAAACACATATTTATCAAAGACAGCCTTTAACAAATAAGACAATAAAAGTTAAAAAAAAACAAAAATAATTCTACCTGAACCATTAAAACTTGCTCCACACGTTCGTGGAGAAGGAACTAAATCATCGTGTGCAGAAAAAATTTCAGTTGCAGGAATTCTAAAAAATGTCTCAGTATAAACAATTATTAAGATTGCCCATAATAATAAGCCCGTTGCACCTATAACTGCAATACTTGTTTTTTTTCCCTCAGTAAGAGTTTGGATTACTTATTGAATAAAGGTTGTAATGCACAACAAAAATCACTAACTTTCCTTCTTTCAAATGATCATCTGCCCCTATAGGACTCTGACCTTCAACGTCTCCGGTATCTGCATCAAAAATCTAAAGAATTTGTAAGATCGACCTCAAATCACAACGAAATTCACATTAAATTTAAAATCTACCTTCGAAAGCTCAACGAAATTTGACAACTGTTTTAGTCCACTTGAAATAGCAGTATCATCGGAGCCATCAGATTTATATCCAGCAATATGAGATCGTAAAAACTAGAAACCAGCTGTTGATTTGCAGCGACCAAATGTGCAGAAAAAAGCAAAACTGAGGTAAAAAATCTGCAGAAAGTTGAAATTCGAAATTGTAGTTAAAATCCCAAATGAAGATGAACAAGTTTTAAAAAACCGAAGTTACTACCAATTATCTTTTACCATAGTAACGTTAAATTAAAATTTGTAAGATAATAAGATTAAAGTAACACCAACAAAAATTGCTTTTTCATGAGAAAACTACGAATGATGGCAAAGGTAATTACATAAAAAACTTTAAAAAATATACAAAATTGAAATTTCGAACTGTAGTTTCCCTATCAATCTTTTTAAATCCAACCTCGAGCAAAAAAGCTCTGCGTTCCTTTTTAATGACAGAGTCATCTTCCACAATCTCCAACAATAGTTTATGAAACTTGGCATTTGAAGCTTTGAAAAGCAACTGAAGCGATATTTTTTTACCGGTCGGGGCGTGCGTATATGTAAAACCAACAACGGCTTTTTCATAATTTATCTAAAATGAAAAAAATTAAATAATTATTAGTAGACTGTCACAAGAAATTGCTATTCCAGTACGTTGTAGGTCTACTTCGTTTCCTTTACAACTGCAAATAAAAAAATGCAAAAAAATTACATAAATAACAATTTAATTTTAAAAAGGAAAAAACTAAGGAAATTCCAATCAAATTACACCTCATCGATGCTAAGACCAGGGGCTTTCAACGCGCTTAGAATATCAAGTTCCGTTCCTATGCTATTACCAATGTTTGTTACCCTTATATATATTTTCAACCCTGATTTTTCCGAAGAGCCTGACATGCCTAAAAGGAACAGCTAAACTAAATTACAACAGTTTTGATTAAGGTGGTGTCTATCATTGAAAAACAATTATTCATTTTTTATGCAAATAGTTTCTGATTTTTCAAAAATGGTACAAAAACAACAAGAAAAACAAAAAAACTTTCTTTATAACGACGCAGGAGGCAAAATAAGGACCAATGCTTACGTGAAATAATAATTAAAAACACATACTTCGCTCGTGTTGGCTTGGTGATAATGAATTCCCAAGATCACCAAGTGATTTCGGCTCATCAATCAAAGGAACTGCTCCTGCACTGTGCAAGTCATCATCATCTTCTGAAGGAGCCATAGGAACACTTATGTCAGCCACAGATAAGGTCTAAATGACAGTTATGAAAACTCAATCTCAAAACATATTCAAAATTAACGAATACTCTTATCAAGAAAGAATTACAAAAAATAATGATCCAGAAATCTAAGTGAAAAAGAAAGAAGCAACATTGATTTCAAAACGACGTAGTCGACCAGACTTGGAAACAGAAAACAAGCAATCAGTTGGTCGTCGTCTAATCGTTCCCCGCCAACAAATATCTACAATGTCATCTTCCTTGCTCTGCAAAGGGAGGAAGATTAGTTTTAAAAAGCGCAATCTCATTAAACTTCTCATACTGAATTAACAAAAACTCCTTGAAAACAAGAAAAACAAAGTTTAAAATGCCCATTCTCGGAAACAACAGAAAGCCTTACTTGAGACCCATTATTTGCCAGAATGGAATTAAAGAAAATAGCTGACCATAAAAGAGCTGAATCATTTTACATGCTATTATTTTAAAATCGAAAGAACAAGAGTTATTAAGCACCCTTAAAGTCTGGAAACGCATCGGATCCTTCGTTTTGAAAACAGTGACAGTATTGGAAAAATTCTCCTTGCCATATGACCGTTTTGAAAGAGTAGCGAACTCATCTCCAGTATACTGGAAAGTAAATAAATATTAGAATAGAAAAAGTGTTATAGCATGTTATCATGATCGAAAAAAGCAACCGAAAGAAAAGTAATTATTCTTTGAAAAACAATCATTTCCAATCGCGTCGAGGAAAACACATACAGAAAACTGAAGTTTCCAAACAGGATCTTCCAGTTTACCAATTGATCGAAAAGGCCTCGACAAGTCTTTAGTATCCCAGAACTGAAATGATAAGATAACTGAGTAAAATTAACAAGAGATTTCCTGAACTCAAAAGCACAAGAAAACTGACGAATTAATCGTTTCATCATTTGGACCAATTATAATTGGTTCCCTATTATTTGCGTATCATAAGGAAAAGCAGAGAAGGCAGCGAAACAGCCTTTTAGCACTAAAGAAAGAGAGTTTACTTCAGATACCAACTTTTATGTAGCAGTCCAAGCTTGAAGAAACGAAACTAGCAGGTCTCTTAGGAAGCCAAGCCAAGCATTTCACTTTATCAATATGAGCTTCAACAATATGAGTGGGAAATTTGGGTTGCTAAAAAGAACGTATTTAAAAAACTTTTGCCATTCCGTTCAGGTGAAACTTTCTGAAACAATTTTTTTTTTTAAAAAGTCAGATTCAAAAAGAAACGTGATCACAACATTTTTCAAAAGCTTTAGGTGATCAAAAAAAGCAAGAAGCAGAAGTGACAAAACATAAAAAACATTTACGGCTCAAAAGGTACTCAGGCTTACTATTGGGAACATAAGACATATTTCATATATGATTTTAATAAGGCCGAAAAAATCAACATGCCCTCAAGTCCCATAAACGGATGTCGGCACCGGTAGCAGTACAAAGAATTGAATCCTGATGTAAAGCCCATTTAGCACTCTCCGCTCCAAAGATCGATTTGATTTGTAATGTTGGAGACTGCTGTCTCATATCCCAAATTTTAATATTGTCTCTGTTAGAACACGTTGACTGAAATTCAAAAATAAATCAAGGTTTCCATCATAAAATGAAATATAATAAAGAAAGCAAGTTACACTCACAAAAACTCCAGGAGCGGTTAATGACCAGTCAAAATCCGTTATGGCATAGGGGTGTGCACAAATCTGACAGACTTCTTTCAAATCACCACGACTGAATCGATAAATATATACATTCGAGCTGCTCTAAACTGATCAATTTCCGTATAGAAATTTTTTGTAATTACAGAGAAGTGAAAAGTAGACTAAACTTCCAACGAACAATTCTTCATCGCTAAAAAGCTACATTAATTCTAAAAACTGCAAAACAGATATCAAAAAAAAAAAGCAACGTTTACATACAGTAACAGCAATATGAGAACCGTTTTCGGAAGATTCTTTGCGCCATCGCAGTATGTTTAAATTTTGAAAGGCCGTCAGATGTCTTTTCACTGGCGATGTCCGGAAAGGTTTGACAACTGTTAGCCGATGAGGCCTACAGAATGAAAATAATGAAATCAAAGACGTAAAATTTATATCAAGTAAACGAAAAAATGGTACCTATTCTTGACTCTGTAAAATGACAAGAGTTACCGTTTTAGTTCTCCAACAAAAAAAAAATTTAAAAAAAATATCTTTACGCTCATAAATTTCTTCACAATAAAATTAGGCTATTCACTTACCCGCCGAAACAGAGATATTCACCAGACAAATCTGTATCTACCGCACTGGCCTGAAAATGAAATCAATGAACAGAATACGCACTATCTTAATCCTTCATTAGCATATTAGAAAACTGCGCACCTCCATTCTACGTGCATTTAAATCAATTGAAACAACAAAGCAAATTATGCTCAACCATAAATTTTTTTACGACACATACTTTTGATCCCTCAAGTCACTGAATACACGGTACCTACAAACACCAAACAAGAAAGGTAAACGAGCCCGACTGTTCGTTAAACTTTGTTGAAGCGAATCCAAGCACAGAATTGATCATCCCCTTACGGCAACCCTTTACATCTTACCAATCTGTTTAAAGCCACCGGGAATTAGATCACTGCACTTCCGGTACTAACCTCGCATGAATCCAGGCACTACAACAGCGTAGAAAGAACTGATTCAAACTAACATATTTTTCTTTGTTTGGCAGCTCTTCCCAACCATCTAAACGATTCATCGATTAACCATATTAGTTGCAATTTTCACCGGTTCCACGAGTACACGGCAACGGTATATTGAATATTCTTACAAACCCTGAAAAGGATTGGTATTTAGCAAAGATAACCATGGTAGAGCTTTCCAAACGCTTTAAAAACTGTTTCTAACTATGCAGTGTGTCGGTAGAAGTCATTATATGTTAAATAAGGAAAGAGTAAAAACTTACCAACACTGACAACCGTCTCTTAACCACTTCTTATTACTCCACTTGTTTACTTACTTTTCTTTTGCTCTTCCAAAGATTTATTGATAACTCACGGATCGCTTTAAAATGTTATTGAAAAAAAAAAAGGTTTATAGCTGCAACGTCTTGTCCGTTCAAATGAGAATCTTAAAAGGATTTATTTTGCCGGTAATAGCGGTATTCCGACGAGAGTGAATTGTCACCCGACGGCTCTATAATATCCTTCGGATTAGCAGTGTCTGTTTTGATTGTGTGTGTGCTCGTGTTTCAGTGCCTGTAGTGACATTTCGTACGCATTGTTTGTTGTCGAACGTTGGTGACACACGAGAATTGCAAAGACCTGTGGTTAGCAGCACCTGCAGATGTAGCCCAGAAGATAGTTTGGTTGATCGAAACAAATCTCAAACAAATAAGTCTTAGATGGTGAATAGTTAACTTATGATTTTGAGTTGGCTCTGAAGGTTGCAGTGGAATCAAGAAACGCTATCTGACATAATCGTTAGGACTGTCCTGTCTATTTTAGAAGTTGGGAGTTGCGTTGAAAAAAAAAAAAAAA